CCCCAAAACCCCAAAACCCCGGCTTATCAAAATCTGTTGCTTAGCCAATCTTATTAATAAAAAGTTCAATTTATTATTAAATTTATAATACAAAAAACATTTGTTAATATCTGAAGCAAGACATGTAGAAATCAATACAACTTAGAATCATTAATGATGAAATTAGATATGAAATAGAGAAGAGCATTAAAAAAGGAGGGTTCGGGGAGGTGCACCAAGTCGTTGACAAACTAGATAAAAATAAAACTAAATATGCAATGAAATATCAATAATTAGCAAATATACTCAACTCTAACAACAGCTTAGAATATGAATTATTAAGAATACTAAGAGAAATTTGCTCCTATCAACTGAGGCACCCTAATATCACATGTGTCAAAGATTCTTTCTTTAACAACAACGGCAAGCTGGTCTTGATTTAAGAGTTAGCTTAGTGTGATCTTTAAGGATATGTTAGACAATAAGGAGGGAACTTGCATCCTTAAAAAATTGTTGCAATTATGATACAAATTCTTAATGGCTTGGAGTATATTCACAGTCTAGACATCATACATAGAGATATATCCCCAGATAATATTCTCATGTTTGAGGGAGAAATAGTCAAGATATGTGACTTTGGTATAGCCTCATTTAGTCAAGAAACTTTTTCAGTTAGTGGTAAAAAACTATATATAGCCCCTGAAGCTTTAGAAGGAGATCACAAAACTGATTAAAAGTCAGATGTATGGTCACTAGGTGTTTTGCTCTACTACCTCTGCTCTGGATAATCGGCGTTGCATGGTATTCCACTGAGAGAAATAATTAAAATTAGACAAGCAGAAGAGCATTATAGACTTCAATTACCTAACAACTATAACCAGTTTGATGAGATACTGAATAGAATGATGCAGCTCAAACCATTTGCTAGACCTTCTGTCAAAGAAATTAAGAATGTATTTTACTAGATGATAGAAGAAGAAGCTAAGATGTAATATTAAAGAGAGCTCTTAATATCAGAACTTGAATAAAAGCTAAAGGTATACTAAGACCAGTCTAACTCTTTATGAAGTAATTTTGCTTAAAATCAATTACTAAATAAAAATAATATCCAGGAGACCATTCTAAAGAAATGCTTATTAGTTGAAGAAGAAATTTAAAATTACTTGAATCAGTTAAGAGTTTAAAGTTAATAATACTAGGATAGTCATAAGATAATCTGTGAATCTGAGAAGGATGATGCATCTAGTTCGGAGTTAATACAACATATCAATCTTAGTCAATTTTTGAAACAAGCAGTCAGTGAAATAAATGACTTTGCCAATATAAATATCGAATCTTCACTGAATATTGATGATATCTAAAGCTTTGCAGAAGATTTTTAGGGTTTTGGTCTTACTAAAGCTGAGATTGAATAGTAAAAACTCCTCATGGCAAGTTATAATAAATAAAACTAAGTAAGCACTTTTTAAAAGGATCAGAGCTAGAGAATCTAGAATAGATTCAATAGAGATGTTGGCAATAAACTACAATAAAGAGTAGAGCTCAAGTAAAAGTAGTTAGTAGAAGTGAATTTTAAGATAATAAAAAGTAATGTTTTCTAACAATCAAGCTATCCATTGAGTTACGTCTATAAGAGTGCAGCAATGTATGTTGCGACGTATTCTAATGGAAGATAAATAAGAATGACAAATGATTTTGTACTACTTTAAAACGAAGATGATACTAATTATTGTTGCTATCATCTCCAAGGTAGTGTACTGTTCCAATAAAAATAAAATAAGATGATAAGATGCAATCCGAAGAGTTTGAAGTCATTGTTCCCACCTTAAGGTAATTTCAGCAATACTAAGTAAAAGGTGACTAAATTCATTTAGTTCTCAAATGATGTTATTTTAACGGGTCAGCTCAATGGATATATCTAGCTATTCAGTGTTTCAAATAAAAAATATTCTTAGGAATTTTAATTGTAAAAGTCTGGGACAATCAATGATATTTGCCTTGCTCAGAGTAAGCAAGATCAAATTTATGCGTTTGGCTGTGACAGAGGTTTATTTATTGGAGTTTTCTTTGACAATAGTCCTCATAATTAGAATGGCTCATTCGATAGCAATGAGTACAACTTTGAGTTTGTCTAAATGGAGGATTAGGTATTCTGCTCTGGATCTTTTTGTAATACAGTAATGCAAGTAAAATAGGGATTCATAGCTGGAACGTTTAAGGATGTTGGCAATGATAACGCTTATTTGATTATAATAAATATTGAAGATAAGTCCTAGATAAGGAAGCTGATGTTTAAGGGGCTTCTTGGGATTTATAGCACATTAGATTATGACTATGATAAATATCCATTTACTTTTGCAAAAGATTAGAAAGCATTATACATAGTCAATATTTAAACATTAGAGAAAAAGGAAATTATCTAAAGTGAGTATCAAAGCAGGCCATCTCATTAATCACTTTATATCTATCAAGAAGATTTAAATAATTCAAAGATTTTAAGAATCGTAGATTTGCTATATTCTAAAAATTAGAGTGAAATAAGAGAGCTTGAAATTCAAATGCCATGATTTTTCTAAATATTTATATAATTTTACATTATTATGATTTGTTAAAAATCACTCTCAGATGGGGTTTTGGGGTTTTGGGGTTTTGGGGTTTTGGGG